CTTCTAGGAAATTTTCTTTTAAATTGTTGGTTTCAAATCTGAGTTCTACTGTGTTATCATTCGTTTACATCAAAAAACAGATTGTACTGAGTTTCAAAATGTTACTGAAAAGTCAAACTTTTAGGCAACATTTAGAAGTAATGATACGAATCAAGCAACGATTTGGAATCTAACAAGTTTCGGAGTTAATAATAAAAACATAACAATTTACCTTTTTGCCGGGTTTATGTTTGTTGGTGTATAATCTTTTTTTAAATTTATTATTCAAAGAAAATTGCTATAACGCAGTTTCAAAAATGCTATAATGTTTTTAGCGGTTTCAACAAGAAGCACGTGTTGGTTTATTAATTAGCAAGTTTATATTAATTTTTTGACCAGAGTTGAATTGGAAAGTCTTGTTGTTATACATGTGGTAAAAATTTCGAACCAAAACAAAAATATACAGACTAATTTAGTTAGTTTGCATTGGATAATTTCTAATATTAACTGCATTATTAACTGCACTTTTAACTGAGCTTTTTCTTTTTTGTTTTGACTAGTATAAAAATGGTTTATAGTGAGTAGCGTTAGTTTGTCCTTATTCGGCAAACCATATTCGGCAAATCAATCGAATCACGCGCCGTAATTGCTATGACAAAAGTGACTAATTTAGCCGTGTTTTAACATTCAGAAAAATTGTTTTGTTATTCAAGTCATTAGCGCAATAGACAAAATTTAAAATATCGTGTTTGGTTGCTAGTAAGAAAGTTCAATACATGCACAGAGGGGTATTTCCTTCAAACCATCTCCGGTGAGCTATATGTTAAGTTTTAATAATCAATTAGAGTTATCAAAGATTTGATTCCAGTGAGCAAACATTTAAACTTCCTGCAGCTTTTCACAAAAAACTGTGTCTTGAAATTTTTAAAGTGGATGAATTTTCAGCTCTCATTTTCCTATATGTCATCGGCAGTTTCACAAAAATCATTCCAGAAAAAGTTTTGACTAGTTAAATGAACCAACTGGTTCTTTACTGGATGCATAACTCAACAATGGAAAAGTAATCAAAATTACTCTCTCGATTCAGTTGTGTTTTCGAGAATAAATAGTCGACTAGAGTGTGTTTTGTTTCATGTATTTTCGGGTTAACAATCCTTTTTAAGCCAAGTCAAATCCAAAACCTGAAGTAATTCAAGGAATTTGATGTAGATGTGATCATTTTTTCCACATATTTGCATTTATATGTTTATACTTATATATAAATACACAAAGGCTTCTAAACTACCGCATCTAAGACATAAAATTAAAGCACACAGTGCTGGTAGTGACTTAATTTTAAAATCAATTGTTTGTAATTTAAGGATGTTTTGTCAGCTGTTTGTCATGATAAGATGGAATCAGTCCCTCGATTTGCTCGACCGTAAAGGACATGCAGATGTTGAATTTCGATCCACGACAAAAATTTGCTTTTTGATCTGACTTTCGATACGAAAGTAACGGAATATTTGTGCTCGGGGTGGGTTTTTTCTTCAGACAAATTTCGACTTTTTAACCAGCCATTTTAGACGGAATTTTTAAATATCATTCGAAAGTTATTGTTGTCGTGAGCTCAAAATTGAAAAGATATCTCACCTGTGATCATTTTTCGTAAAATTACGGGGGCTTAAAGATTGGCATTTTGGCTAACTTCGGACAATTAACGCGTGATATAATTCGCGCTATTAACGCGTAAGCGGATAACTAATCCGTTTCAGGAGATCTATCCTTTTGTACTTCATATGGCGTGTGATGGATGATTTTCATAAGAAAATTTCAAATTTTAGGATTTTTTTTTTCATTTTGTTTTATTTCATTTATTTTTTTCACGTTATTACTGCTCCATAGACCTTAAGAGGCAGTCGAACATTCAGGGCCTTGCCCTGATACGAGCAGTCTTGTCTTGTTTTCGATCCAATACAAAAATGGAATTGATCACAAGTTATTTGGTTTTTGATCCAAAACTGGAAAGGATCTGGTGAAAATGGAAATGATCACAGTTCAATTGCCGATGAAGCATAAAAAATTCTTCAGTAGAAGGTCCAAGTTGAGGAACATAATAAAAAAATATTTGTTGTTTTTATTTGTATTTATTAGCTGTATTTATTAGTAATATAAAATTGCAAAGAAAAATCTCAAAGAGTATAAAATTATTAATTAAGAGTAAAAAAGTAACATATCTCTGGCATGAAACATTTTTTGGGAGTATTGCTTATCAGAAACATCTTAAAAATTCTCTCTGATCCAGAATTGTATCCTCATTGTAAATTTTTGGTTATTTAATTTTGTTCCCTCTCTTTTCTTAAATGACTCGTTTATTTCCCCTACCCCTGTAATTTTTACCCAGTTTATCCAATTAGTTTTTCAATCAACAATTGAAGTAAATCAAATTATTCAGAAAGGCCTGGAGTGACCTTAAGGCGCAATCGAAGCATTTATGGGATTTTTCTTGTTTTTTCTTGTTTTTTTGTTGTTTTTTCTTGTTTTTGTTTTGTTACCGAGGTTAACAAGACATAAACACGCATCTTTTTCTCACATACAAGACTACCAGTATCATTGCTAAGCCTTGAAGCTCCCGGCTGCTTTTCAATCGTTATCAATTAATTTTTGCTTTTAAGTTTTCTGAGCAGTTTTTGTACTGAATCACGTTCTTTTCAATTCCCAGCAGCCTAAACCAAACAGTAGGCGTTAAAAAATTATTAGTATACATAATAATTTTGATCAATCAGCGTGATTTAGTTCAAATTGGGAAAATTTTGATGTAGAGCAACTCGCCACAAATCGGAAAATCAGAGGAATTCGCCAAGTAACGCGCAAAAATTGTCCAATACTTTCTTCGAATGAGAAAAAATGAAAAGGCGACGAGCGGACCAAATTAGTTGAAGCGCTTGAAATTAGTGGTTTTACTAAGTGCAAGATATAACATGCTAAAAATCATTCTGGATGGCTAATTTTGAAATTTTTGGAAAGCCTAAGCAAAACTTTTACCCAAACATTTTTCCCTGACAGCTCAAAAGATTGTAGAAACTTTCAAAATTTTCCTTGGACCTTTTATTGTTTGCATAGCATCATTTATATATTCAAAAATAAAAAATACAAGTATTGATGATTGGTTGTTTTGAAATATAGTTTTTAATCAATCGTAAAACATTTTCATAGTGTAGTGCCAATTTTTTGAAACAGGTATCACGGTTTGTCTTGAAACAAGCTGACAATTTCAGCAATCGTCGTTCCAAATTACTATTTAAATCAAAGTAGGACTTGTTAGATGTGTAACAAAAAAGTTTCCAGTGTAGTATTTTTACTAGAATCCAGTTTGAGCAAATTTGCTTTGAAATACTTTCAGAGACTATTTGTTAAGTTTTCCTTTTGCGTTTCATCATCAGAACACCTGAAATGACAAATCAGATCCACACTTCCGCGAGTTTTCAACCCCAATAACTATAAGTTGAGAAAAAAGAATGCAAATTTCAAAGTAAGAGCACGTGATTTTAGTAATTGGAAAAACGTCAATGAGCATTATTGAGCAAAAAACAGCTAATTTATTTTTTGTAAAACCTGTTTCAACAATGTTTTCCTAACACCTCTGACCCATTTATTCTGATTTGATTGGTGGCTGAAAACAATTGTTGAATTGTGAAAAGTTCCGAAATTTTTTATTTTGAATATGTCAGATCGGTTGTAAACCTTCTCTCGAATCAATGAAAAACACTTTTTTCCTTTCAAGATTGTCTTTAAATCCCTCAATTTATTTCTCCGGTAATTTACCCGCAGATATTGTTTTGGTATTTGATCTAACAAATAACAGGAAGTTATTAGAGCTGAACTGCTCACGAAACAATAAAAAAAATCTTCTGATTCAGAGCTGAACGTTTCTAGTATACTCACTTTAACAGAAGGCTACAGATCAAAGATGTGCAAAAGGAGCTGAATAAATTCTGGATCTATTTATTAGCAAGTGACTTTTTTCAGATACAAGATTATTCGTATCATGGTTAGACATTGAATATTCCGGCTACCTTTTACTCATTCTCTAGTAGTTTTAGCTGCTCAGTTTTTCTGAGCATTTTAAATTTGGAGATCGTCCTTTTCTATTGCTAGCAGCCAAAATCAAACAGCAAGCTTTAAAGTTTAAGTACTTTAGTCACATCTTATGATCAATGAGCTTGACTCAAATCAATTAAAAATTAACGAAAGGGCTCAATATAAACTGGTATATGCAAGATATATCAAGTTAACAATAAATCTGACTTGCTGAATTTGATTTTTTTTAATGTTAAGCAAACTTTTCACGCAAAACTATTCTAGATAACTTAAATGGAAACTTTTATATAACACCTTGACATGGAAACTTTCGCCAAGATTGAATCCGATATTGAAAATCTAGAAAAAACACAGATATTGAAGATTGGTTGTTTCAAAATGGTATGTTAACTATTCTTAAAAGCTTCTTCAATTGCGTGAAGACCGATTTTTTTGAAAAAATCCACCTAGAGTATTGAAACAAGCTTAGCATCTCAGCGTTTGAATCAATTACTAAAACAGTCATACTAAAACAGGTTAGACAGGGGCGGATCTAGGATTTTCTCGAAGGGGGGGCGGATTTTCAAACAATTTTCGAAAATTTTGACGACCTTTTTTTTTAGGTCGATCAGATTGATTTTCCGAGCTCTCCCAAAGCAGTAAAAAGACCCTGTTTTGGCCAAAGTTTGTGCGCGGCAGGCAATTTTTTGAAAAAAGAGGTCAAAAAAGCCGTTTTCAAAAAAGCCGCAAATTTTCTGCGCCGCAGGCAACTTTTTGAAAAAACAGTTCAAAAAGTTTTAGGGTCGGTTGGCCAAAAATGGATTTCTTAAAACGTACCAAAGGGGGGACCTAATTATCTAATAAATGTGTATTCACATCAAATTCTGGGACTCTTTAAGTTGCCATTCAACCGACACACTGACTGTTCAATCATATGAAATAGCAATTTTATCCAACTTGTAACCTTGACTATTTTATCCAACTTGTAAAATATTGATGTAGTAAAAAAACTTATACTGACTTGTGCGACCATTGATTTGCAGTCAATTGTGTTAAATGGTCATAATCATGCATGAGAGTGGCTGAACATTGAGAGAGGCTAAAGCAAAAACTGATCATACAGTCTAACGTTCAAAATAATTGCGCAATGTAATGTTACTTTCTTTTGGTAGGTGTTGTCCGTGGGGCGCCAAAAAAAACGTAATTACTTTGCCCAAAAATTTGAAATTTGTAAAAAGAAAACTTTGTCAAAAGAAAACATTGTGAAATCAATGGTCACTCGAAATCTTTTTTGTTCTTGTTGATGAAAAGGCCCAGGTTACAAGTTGAATCAAGTTGATTCTTACGCTCAAAATTTTTACTTGGTGTTACTGGAGGAGGCAAGGTTACCAGTTGGATAAAAAAAGCTGCTTTCTCTTGAGTAGTATATGTTTTCAAACAATTTCAAA